CCTGACATGGTCTAGTGGTTATAGCACTCGACTCGCAATTTGCGGGTCGCGAGTTCGAATAATGTCTCCGAACATGCTCGTCCTTTCAACTTTGGTGGCGATATAACGTGCGCTTAATCCCACTATTCATCGGTAAGGAGTAGTACAAGAGTTGGCGGTGGGTGCTGTTGATTACTTATCTTCCCTCTAGTCTATCCATTCTACATTACAGACGGCTATCAAAGATAGCCTTCGGCTAGCTTTGCGCAAAAATTCAACAAACAAAGTTCAGTATGAATGCCTGTCTGTATTGTCTAAATATTGAACATATATATAGACTAATATTAATATGTATGTTGTATTATATCCTAATCTGTGTGTGTGTGTGCGCGCATATATATATATATATATACAGTTATGCTTATTTATGTAAATATACTTTACACATAAGTGCATATATAAATCTCATGAACGTATTCAAATGTGTATGGAAATATAAAACTTGTCTGTATACATATAAATGAAGCAGTTTTTCCTGCGAAACAAACAGCATGGAAATGCTTACCGAAATACAGCACCGGTTCTTCAAGTGCAGTATTTTTTCCACACATACCAGTCGACACTAAAGCTATCTTTTATTTATCCTATTTTCCGATAAAGCTTTCTTTTCTTCTTTTCTTTACAAACCTTATCGAAAAAGAGTTGAACATAACAAAAAATCACTCATTCTCTGGATATCAGTAAGGTGAAAAAAATGAGTGGTATCTATTCTATTGTCTGGAAGATAAGTGAACATTTTGAAAGGTAACTATAACAAAAGAAAAAACCGATAAATATTATCTATCACATACCCCGAAGATGGAATCACAAATGTTTTAGAAGATCCTTAAAAGTAAAGTGACACCTGGCAAGTCACTGAAATAGAACACAGCATGTCAAGTTTTAGATGAACATTTTAATATTTTTCGTTATACAAGTTCTGTTTTTATTTATTTTATATAACTTGACATTAGACAGCTTTTTTTTCGATGATCCTTAATGGAAAACGAGAGTTGGACATATCTAAGATTTTATTCTATACACTAATTCTGATTAAATATATTCTAGCTCTCTTTAATTCCAAACTAAGACTGTTCTTCTAGACGTCGTATTTGGAAATGTATTGAATTTTTACACGAGTTTGTAGGGCATTTATGTGAAATGTAATCTTGTTTTTTGTTATTATTAACGTCATGTTATGACGTCAGTGCTGTCACCGCTCTAGCTTGATTAATGTGCATGTCAAGTGTATTATTCATCTTCGAAAACTTCAAGCTTTGATTCTATCTGGCGTTTGTAAAATAAGGGTTTTTATAGTCAAGTTGCTGAATAGTTAGGGAGCGAATTATGAACATTTACTCCGGGTTTAGAATTTATTTTGTCATTGATCAGAATTCACATATATATATAAATGTTGAATGTGTTCCGAAGAAACGTGGAGAACATTTTGCCGATCCTCTTACAGACGTGGTACATAACCCAATAGTTTCAAAATTTATCCTCAGAATGTTGTACCCAAATCCCTGCGAGGTAAATTAACATTTTTAAACCAATATTATAAATTAAGATGTAAAACAATACATATTTTTAACAATAGTAATAACTTCAGATAAGAGTAAGCTATGTACTTAGAGCAAAACTAAAAGTTAATCTGGCCGTCAGTAGAACTAATTAAATATACTTTCCTTACATATCTGCTTATATATTTGTTGAGGACCTTCGCTGTTAACGATATTTTCAACCGTAAGTGTTATTGTATATTAACGCCGGTGAAAATTAAGAAAACACTCAGAGCAGATAACACTATATTTTTTGTGTAAAAATAGGAAGGCATTTGACTTATGAAACCGCTTTATGACAAATATCATGCCATTTCCAGAATGTGTACGTATTTGTATATTTTACAATATTATAAACTAAAATATAAAACAATACATATTATAACAATAGTAATGATAAAAGTAAGCTATGTACTTAGAGCAAAACTAAAAGTTAACCTTGCTGTCAATAGAACTAATTAAATATACATTTACAGAATATGTACGTATTTGTATATTTCACAGAAAAATGAGTTTGGTTTATATTTTAACACTGTTAACGTATCACCCAAGAAAATTTCAACTGTAATCTAAGCGTCAGTAAAGAAAGGGTTAGTTATATGACGACAAAACTTTAATAGCGTTGGACTGAGTTTGATACAGAAACATTATATACGTGTGTGTTAAACTTCTACAACCATCTTCTCGCCAAGTTTTGCTAAGTGAGCAATACGACTCCGAGATGCATAAACAAGGAAATGTTCAAGATTTTACATAATGATTCGTTAAACAAGTTCCTGTTATAATGCAGCTGTTGATCGAAGTAGTACAGAGAGCTGGTGTCAACTTGTGTTCCTTCGTGCTTTTAAGAAATTATGTGTAATGTTCGACGAAAAATACCAAAGTTTTGCAATCTTCAAATATAAAACATCAAATTTTTAAATTGAAAAAGTATTATCATTTGTTTCCGTTTAGCATAATTTATTTAGCCTATATTCTATCAATAGGGCTAAGTGAGTTTAAAGAAGCACCTATAATAATTTTTGTTTCATGGTAGTTATATAGTTGAAAGAAAGGTAAAAATATTTCAATTACTCACTTTGTTTCTCTTATCATATCTAGATATAAGAGAAATTGATAAAGTTCGACACTATTTAATAAACTATTGACTCAGTGTATTATCTTTTACAACGTATTGAAGCAGTATAAAGCATTTCAATACTAAAATGACATGTTTGGAATTGAGAAAAACTAATATAAATTATTGAAATATGAAAATAAATAGCGAAAAAATGGAAAGGGTAATTTATATCGTAGTCTGTGCAAACTGATTAGGACGTTCGGGTTAATGTTGAATCTTATCTAAAAATTATTTAATATCATTTCATTAAATTTATCAATTTCTAATAGCGCTGTTTTTCAACCTAAATTTAGTTTTTAGTACTAGAAAAAGAAAACCTGCAAGCCAAGTACGAGAAAAATCATATGAAATCAATGAACAGCGAACATTGTATATCACTTATATATATAGTATTTTAAAGTTTTCTCAACTTCATTGGTTTGTAAATATACTTGTGCCAATAATTTTCTTTGGTAAACAGAACTGTTTATTTTTGTTTCCATTCCAAGTGGTTTAGCAGCATAATTACTCTGTAAGCCGGAAAATAGCACTGGTAGTATGGACAACTTTAGCAAATTCGCTATTTTCAAATGGACTAACTTAAGAAACAAGCATTATAACTACACTAAAGTAAAGAGTTAAGTTGTTTAAACACCGCTTTTTGTTCTCTTTCGTTTTAATTATATAGCTTAAAAACAGCCTACCATTTGAATTGTATCTTACAGATAGGCAAGAAGGTTTAATCTATCTGATGTGAAATCCGGTAAAATATTTAGTATAAGGATGAAAGTCCTTGTCTCGTAACGAGTGATTTAAAAGAAACATTGTAAAGACGGGATAAAAGTCCCGTTGAATAAATCACCACAACAACCAGTGAAAATGATCCACTAGTCAGTTGATAATACACCCGGACGTTTCAAGGCTGCCAGTAATCTATGCATATGTTCTTTGTTTGAGAAGATAACAACGCAATAATAGGACAGCTCGTCGTTCTAACACCTCCAGATTCTTTGGAATAGAGATGCAAATTAACCATGACGGAGCTGCGATCGACCTTTTGATGAGATATGTTTACAGGGTAAATGTATTGATTTTCTTCTGTTTTGTGAGAAACCTGGCACACAGATCTGGTATTCATGGTTTAGAGTATTAATAGTACACAGGTAAACATCCTTGGATTTGGTGGATTAAAGGTTACCTGAAAGCACGGGGAAAGGAAAAAAAAGACAGCCAAATTTAGCGAACACAATCATCTAATTGTTATTCATTATCCACTTGCTTCATATGAACGACCGAATACAATGTTGAAACCGAAATTAATCACACGAAACAAATTGATGATACATTAATTAACCTGAAGCGAGTGAAGATAAAATTAAGTTAAAGTTCAGCTAAAACGAAAGCAGAAAACGCAAGCTCAATGAAAAGGAACAACAAAGAAATATTCTCCTCTACAGCTTCTGATGTTGGATCTCTCGCTATGAACCCTGAACAAAAAAATACCCCAACTCTAGGAAGTGTTAATCCACTATGGCACAGCCAATCACAATCAGGAGGAAATGAAAAATCCTGCTAACACCTGTGACAATTGTACAGACAATTTGCCCTAAGAAAGCACTGGCCATAAAATACAGATAGTGGTTAGTACAAATGATTGTTCTCCTAAGGCTAAATTTCACGAAGAACCAAGGACTTAAATAATTTCTATGTTCACTGATATAGAAGAGCGTAGTATAGGCGTACCCCACACATGTATATATATTTAATATTTATAGTCTGCGTTTCATTTTTAACTAAACTATGATATATTTGGTAACATAACTTTCTTACATTATTTAAAACGTAACTATGTAATAACTGCTTATGTTAAGATGGTTTTGAAAACGCAGAGAATAAGACGAAATGGATGAGTTTAATACCATGATAAAATTTCCATTTGGTAATTATATGTAACAACGTAAACGGAAACCTGATTCGAGCAGAAAAAATGTGTTCTTAGATGCAAAACAGCAGTATGTTTTTTTTGGGGGGGATATTTAATAAAACTCATGATCAATTTAATAGCAAGATCATTGATAGTTACGAAACCGCAAATTCCAATACTCGTTTCATATTTATTACTCCGAAAATACATAATTAATAAATTTGATTTAAAATGTTTAACTAAGTATGATCTTAAGTTTTCCTGTTTAAAATATTGCCTGGTAATACAATGTTATTAACAATACGTTAATATTACATAGTTTCAGCCTATACTAAGTGAATATAGTATTATCTGAGAGTGTGATGAGAGTAGTAAAATAGATCATTTTTATTTATAAAAGGTCATATAAAGATTGAGCACGAAATGGCATTTTATACGACACTTCGTCTGAACAGCCAGGACAGAAGCTTCAATGTTTTGAAATAGCCATCTCTAATTTACAGCTGCTGACCAGAGGGAATAGGTAACCAGTAAGCCCCACTCGCCACCTGCACGGAGTTGAATGCCACTTTTATAAAGTGCCCACAGCTGAAAGTGTGGAACTGGTATTGAGGTCTCGAACCGTGGACCTTTCGATACGCAGCGCGGCAAGCTAACTACTAAGCCACGCCGATTCATCTTTTTGGTACTTGTACGTTCATAGTTTTTCATTTTAACTTTCTCAAAATAACATTATAATCAGTTTCTCTTTTCCAGCAGTTTTTCAGCGAAATATGGTTAAAGTGAAAAATGTTTTAATGTAATCTGTTAATCAAGCTTAATAAGTACAAATTGACAACGCTTAATAACAGCATCAAATGAATGGTGCGTTGAAGGCGAACCTTCATCTATTTTTCAGTATTCAAGTCATGCATAAAATTGAGAACGTAAAATTTACTTATTTTTAAAATGACAAATTGAACTGTATATGATTTTTTTGTAATTGCCTCTTTTTATATTGTTATATTGTTAACGGACATAGTACACTGCCAGACTGTCAACCTAATTCATTATAATGCTTTTAAGTTGATTTCATTTTTCAAAATAGTTTCATATCTGTCCCAAACTAACCTCCTTTTTCAGTTAGTTTTGTTGAAAAAAAATGAAATTGTATTTCCTAAATGTATAAAAGAAAACTTTAACAGTTTCAGTAAATTTGCCTTCTGAGACAAATGCATTTTTTTAGGTATTTCAAAAAAATAAAATAGCGTTAGATGATTCTCTAAACTCTGTGAATACAGTTGTGAACTTGGATTAATTTGCTTAGTTTGTGCAATGATATACTTGCGTAGAGGACTCAATTTCGTCTTATTTTCTTGGGGAATTGGATGTACAAAAAAAAAAAAGATGCATACTAATAGTAATAAATATCTAAGCAATAAATTGATTGATAAATAGTAGGTTGCTACCGACCGGTTTTCCTATCAATGGTCGTCGGTGGTTTTCGAGGCTACTTGGAGTAGAGACTGATATACGTATTGTGACGAGACTTCACAATTAAATGAAGAAGACTCCGTGCTTCTGCCAGTATTACAAGTTCCTCTAACGTGTAACCATAACCACAACCAGTTTGTTATCTACGTCGGTAAAAATAAACGAGAGTAAAACTCATATATCAGCTTATGTGCTAAATAACTAAATACATACTCTACGTAAAAATCCTCATGATATGGATCCTCCTATAGTTTTAGTTAAAACATTTTCCGTCCCATTTTTCATAGTTGCATCATTACGCATGCTTCCAAATTTAACAAACTTGCACTAAGTTACTTATAAGTTATTTAGTTTATTTCAATTATGCATTTTTATCGGTAGTGGTGAGACCTAGAGGCTTTCTTCTGTGTGAAAGTCAAAGCCATATGATAAGGGTAAGACTTGAAAAAAAAAACTACTTTGCTAGTGAGTATGTTAAGAAAACTCAAGGTTGAATAAAGAATATCATTTTCGTCACGGTATTATTTAATCACTCGTGGTGTCCTATTTCATTCTGAGGTCGACGGCTATAATTTTCAACTGTTCTCTATTGCTTACTGCTTGCAGCAACTTTCCTATATAAAGCTTCTCATGTTCAATTCATTTTCGTAAGTTATCGAACCTAGTGAGGCTTGGATCTACCTCTTACTCTCCTTCCTTCGACCTTACCCATTATAATATCTAAGAACTCTCCTTCAGATATAGCTATGTGCCCAAAGTAACGCGTCTGCTGCTTTATATTTATGTCCAGCAGTTTTTTGTTTTATTTATCTTTGCACGTTTCAAAACTTCTTCACGAGATTTTCTTTACATATAACTGATCTTTATCATTCATTTATAACACCACATTTCAGGTATTTCCAACTATGGATTTGGTTCAGCAGACAGGGTCCAGGTTTCAATCCTGTTGAGTAGAACTGCCTATAGTAACATTCTAGTAGTCTATTTTTCAACTCTAGTTTCACATCTGTCCAGAGCTTTTTGTTCAGATTGGAGAACGCTGTTTTAACCAGTCCTAATTTTCACCTTACCACTTTTTCCACACTTTCCATCACTACTGACATTCATCTCTAAATAAGTAAAACCTTTTACTTATTCCAACTCCTTACCTTCTACTGCGATACATATTCTAGAAGTGTTTTCAGACTATGAAATTACAATTTTCTTAGTTTTGTTGATGTTTATCCTTTCCCTTTATCAACAAGCCTGTCAATTAACCGTTCTATCACTTCATCAGATTCACCCATAAGTACCATATTATCAGCATATCTATTATTACAGATTCTATTTTATTTAACCTTGATCATTCTGTATCATTAACTACCTTGTTAATACTATCAGCATATCTATTATTACAGATTCTATTTTATTTAACCTTGATCATTCTGTATCATTAACTACCTCGTTTATCAACCAATCTGCATCCAAATTATATAATGTTGGTGGCAGCATAAATCCTTGTGGTGTGTCTTTCTTAACCGCAAACCAACTGCTCAGTTTTCCTCAATGTGAACTGATGGTTTCTGACTCCAGTAAACATTCTTCAGGAATCAGATATGTGTTTGATTTACCCCACTTTTCTGCATGATCTTCACTAATTCCTCGAGATTATCCATTCAAAACGTTTTTTCAAAGCATTTATAGCATATAAATAGTAATTTCTTTACACATTTTTGGCTGTGCGGCACACTATTAAGTACATCAATTAACAGCTGAATGTTTGTAACAAAAGTCAGACATGTCTATACTTGCTATCATACAATGCTCAATGAATATGTATCACTTTATGATAAACATAGAATGGTTTTATTACCATTTTTTTCTATTTTTACTATCAATACTGATTGTTTTTTCATATTTGGTGAATAGATTAGAATTATAGAAATGTTAATTATTCATGTTATTGTAACACGTAAAATAAACAATTTTAGAACTAAAATAATTTCAAAACGTTCAGATATTCACTTTATTGTTCTTATATTTCTTATTTCTTGTCATTATATTCTCAACAGGAACTGAACTTCTGGATATGAATAGTTTTCCAAATATATATCTCGGCGGTTTTTCTATCTAAGAATTCAATCATTACAACTTCAAGAACAGTAAGTAAACATATTCAAATCTATCCATATTTTAAGTTTCCATATTTTTAAAATTACAACTGAGTTTCAATTCAACCGAAGTAGATTTAAAACTATTAATTAAGCAAATGCTCTGCCTTATAACTTTTAAGCTATTGTTATGTTATTTTTCTGCGATTTTTCTCAGAAACCATTTTTGTGCGTTGATTAGATATTTAAGCGCTCACATAGTATTAACGCGGTAACATGAGCTTAGATTAAGTATGCTTAGTTTGGACACCATGACTTAAGCTTGGATTAAGTACACTTAATGTGAACACGGTTACATGAGCTTGGATTAAATACACTTCATATAAACACGGTAACATGAGATTGGATTAGGTATAATTAGTTTTTATTGTTACGTATTACAATTTCGAATGATATGAAACTGAGTTAACTTTGGATTTAGTATCTAAATAAATGCCGATATATATCCAATTTATGATATTTGCCAACAAGATTGATACACATAGTTTTCTTTGTTTTATACAAATGTTTTAATGTACAAACAATAATACAATTTACAAATAGTTATTACAAATAGCTATTGCAAACAATGATTTATATACACAAGTTTCACAAACTTACAAGCAATATAAAGTATTTTTTCTGATCTGGAACTTCCCTGATATCTTATCGAGGGTTCACGATGAGCGAGTTAATTTCGAGTTGATGCAGGTATAATTCACATAACAGGGAGCTAGCTAACCCTGTAGTTCTCACTGATCACACGCCGATTACAGGTCGAGTTTCCACCGATGACGTTAGTTAATGTTTTTGTAAAGGTACTAATGTCCGATGTGAATCCACTGAAGTTAAATGGTTTGCAATGTTCGAAATTTATAAACGTCCCTAGTCAAATATCTGAAGTTTCCCGCTTAATAAGCTTTAATCACAGTTATAGCTTACAGAGTTTATAGCACAACAACTACAGTAACCCAATAATAGATACTATTTTTTAGGCGCGTCGCGTTGGTTATATTTATAGGCATGTGGAGAGTTTCTCGAAAATTCAGATTACGTAACAATACAAAGCTACACTGGCGTTTACGTACATACATATATTGTTGATTCCTACACTCGAGAATTTTCTACAATTTTAGAGAATAGGCGGGAGTTTCGCAATACATATTTAACAGTATACGTTATGTACATTTCTAAATATAAATTTAATTTACACAAACATCGATATTAAAATAATAAATCCATCACATTATACACTGTAATATGAACAAGGATTAAGCATTCAGAAATGCTTTCTTACTTGATTTTATACTTAGAATATCTTTTGAAACGTCATTTCACATTTGCTTATCCACAAAAATGACGTTTGGCTCCCAAACATCATAATGATTTTTAAAATGTTAAATCTGAAATACGTTTTGATATGATAGTTAAGTCTAAGATATGAAAATTTTTGGACTTTAGATATCAACAGTAAGCCAACACTCTTAACTTCTCAGGTAATTACAATTTGTGAGAGCTGATCAAGAGGATTAAAGTACCTGTACTGTGAATGCGAGGTTCGTAGTTCACGTTTTGTTGTGGCAAAAAAACGTTGTGCGCTCAACACTTGGGATCCATGTTTGAGCTATAAGAGTGGTGTTCAAACCCCACTAGTCGGTTAGACAAGAGTGGCTTAAGAGTTGGCGGTGAATGCTATTGACCAGCTGCCTTCCCTATAGAGTGTAGTCTTTCAGTTCAAATTCAGGGATGACTACTGAAATTCTAAAACAAACAAACGAATCCACTGTGTATGACAATACTTCACTCCAGTGGTCAGTTGTTAAACACCAAAATCGTTATTACAGAATTTTTCACCAAGATGGAAAATAACTACCACTTTTATTTATTTGGATTACAAGGCGCCTTCATTAATGTAATGCATTCATTTGTTAGCTTTCATTGCTAGGGAACATAACTTCAGAATATTAAATAATTTGTTTTTTTTGTTTTAATTTCGCACAAAGCTACATGAGGGCTATCTGCGCTAGCCGTTCTTAATTTATCAGTGTAAGACTAGGGGGAAGGCAGCTAGTCATCACCACCCATCGCCAACTCTTGGGCTACTCTTTTACCAACGAATAGTGGGATTAACCGTCACATATAATACTCCCACGGCTGAAAGGGCGAGCATGTTTGGTGGGACCGGGATTCGAACCCCGACCCGCAGATTGCGAATCGAGCTCCTTAACCACCTGGCCATGTCGGACCGGATAGTAAATAAGATATCATATTAAATTTTCAGAACAAGTAGAATGAAAAAATTGTAGTTTATAATGTTCTACTTGTATCAAAATATGATTGAATAACCTTAAAACATTTTCTCATTGAACTATTTTTTGAGGTTTTAATCTGGGAGGGGGTGAATCTAATAACTTTAAGTTACGTTTGTACCTTTAGAAATATGTAAAAATTCCTACAGCAAGCGTTGCGTTGAAAAGTCATTTGTTCCTTTGCTCAGAGATTTCTCAATTGTTTTAATTTTACCATAAGAAACGTAATAAACCGTATAAGAAATGTTTATTTTTTCACTTTTTGATTGTAATTATTATCAAGATCGTTTTACTTTTAAAAATATTTCTCCCCAACGGGAATTATTTACTCGTGTTTCATTCTCAAAACATTAGACACAAAATACGCCGAGGAAATATTAATATCTAAAATTATTATTTATAAAACTATTAAGTATTCTCTTTTCGTATTATATATCATTCTTTTCTATCACTAGATTTGTAGCGACTCTTAAACAGAGGAGGTATTTGTGAATTCAAATATTTCTCTCCGAAGTTAACTAAACAAGCTTATAATGGCTGGAGACGGCTTGAATGGGTAATGAAGAAAAACTTTAATATAACAGCAAATGTACAACGTTTCGACAAGGTTTTGTCATCATCAGGTTGTACATTTGCTGTTATATTAAAGTTTTTCTTCATTACCCATTCAAGCCGTCTCCAGCCATTATTAGTCTCAAAGTGGGTTCCTCGTCATCGAATTTAAACAAGCTTATAGTTCCTTTGAGACGTAATAGAAGTCTGTTTAGAAGAAGCATTAATTAGAAATGTTGATATTCAAACACACAGACTTCCTTTCAGAGTGTGATGCTAATTGAATAGAATTAAGCTAGTTTTCTTTGAGACATCATGACTGAAATAAGGGCCTACCGACACATTATAAACAACAAATATAAAATCTGCGAATGCATCTAAAATAAGATATTAAACATATGAAATAAATATAATCATTGAAAAGAAAAACATCACTGAACTCAGTTAATGGTTAATAGAAATAAATTAGTACTCAAGCCATTCAGTAGAAAGCCTTAATTAAAGCCAGTCGATGGAAAACCTTAATCAATCCACTCAATACATTCAATATAAAGATATCATTCAATCCTGTATAGGGAAAGACACCAATGAAGCCAGTCAATAAAAAATACATCGTTCAAGCCAGTAAATAGAAAGGCAACAGTCAAGTTATTCATTAGAAATAATCACTGAAACCATTCAGTAGAAAGACATTACTCAAGCCAGTAAGTAGAAACACTTCACTGAATCTAGTGAATGGAACGATGTCATTCAATCCAATTAGTAGGAATATATCACTCGAAACAGTCAACAGGAAGACGTCACTAAGTCCAGTCAATAAAGAGATGTCAATCAATCCATTCAGTAGAAAGACATCACCCAAACTAGTCAACAGAAATATATCCTCCAAGCCATTCAGTATAAATGCATCACTAAAGTCAGTTGATAGGAAAACATCACTCAATCCTGTCAATGGAAAGTCAGCATTGAAGCCAGTCAATAGAAATACATCACTAAAGCCAGTCAATAGAAACACATTAAATCAAATTAGTCAATGAAAAGTTATCCCACAAGCCAATCAATTGAAAGATATCACTCAAGCCAATCAATTGAAAGATATCACTCAAGCCAGTCAATTGAAAGACATCACTGAATCCAGTCAGTATAAAGACGTCACTCAAGCCAGTCAATAGAAAGGCTTTACTCGTATTACTCAATTCACATTACAGTCCAGGCTTTGCCTAATACTACAACATGAAAAAAGTTCACAGTCTTTCTTATATATATATATATCCATACACAAGTCATCGGGAAATACCGTCCGTCTCCTCCATTACACTTTTACTGTCCAGTGCTTGAACTAGTAAATTTAAATATTTTTACATTTCTATTCATTTGAAACATACGTTTTATCCCTAGATGGATGTATCTTAAGTCCCGTATTTATATACAATATACATTATAAAATTGAAATTCAATTTTTAATAAACAATGACTTATTGGGCACAATTCTAAAATTGAGAAGTTTCTAGTCTTTAAAATACAGTAAAATACTAAATAACTTACTGCACAAATTAAAAGAAAAACTCCGATAAGACTGGAAACAGTGTCATACACTCAAGATGTTTCGACGTGTTTACTGTGTCATCTTCAGGAGTGCAATGTTGTGCAAAAATCAGACTTACTTATACCCTCACAAAATGTCATCAGAATATATTATCTCAATAGATTCACGTATATTCATACTAATGACATTTTCAGGTTGTGCTAATATAACAGTCTTTTCCCATTGATTTGTGTGTTTTCTTTCAATAATATATTCTGCTAATGGTGAAGTAGTAATATTATTGTTTTAACATTTGTTTTTATTCATTCATTCTGTAGTTTAAATTTTGTCTAGTTTGTCCTATAACGACATTTTCATATTTACATGATATTATATTTATACCAAAATTTTCAATTAAACCAATTTTATTGTTAATTTTATTAAGAAGTTGGCTAACCTTGTTTATCAGTTTATTTGATTACTAAACTGCTTCATTATTTGACAAAATAAACCAGGTATAAATGACAATACCAAACATTCTTTTGTACTTTTTTCAACAAGTGGTTTTAACTTAATATTTTCATCATTGCTTTTTAGTTGTTCACAGCTCTGTCAAAAATATCAGG